TTTTTTTTTTTTTTTTTTTTTGTTAGATTCTATTTGCTGTTTTTTTTTTGTTCAGTTCAATGCTGCTTCCGACAAGGCGATTGGAGTTTCGCATTTCCGCGTTCCGGTTAGGGTTTTCTCGATTTTCCCACTTCAGTGTCTTATACTGTTTCTGCTAGTTGATGCCGGAGCTAACAGATCTTGTTTTCTTGTGACGGGATTTTCTTCCTTTTGAACCAGCGCAATGGAGCTAGATCCGGCCGTGATCTTTGGACTTCCAGAAATGCGAAGTTCTACTCTGGATGCAGTAATGCTAGCAACAAGTTCCGGAGTATGTTTCCCAGAAATTCCAAGCTCCTCCCACACTCTGCTATTTAATATGGGTTTAGTTGAATTCAGAGGTTTAGTTTTGTTATCGGTTTGGCAATCGGAAGCAATTAAGTTACAGTATTTTCTTCTGTAGATTTAGAGATGATTAGATACCCAAATTAATTTTCCTAAATGCTGGTGTTTCCGGGCTTTTATATAGCGAGAGAGATTGAATTCATGTTAAACCTGGTTGTACAGAGCTCGCATCATATTCGCTTTTTAATTTTTGCTCGAGAAGCAGAAGAACTTATATTTTTCCACATTGCTGCAGAAGCTAATGCCATTACTCATCCGAATCGTTATTTGCTGATTGCAACTAGTGGAGGTTTAAATCAACAAAGAACTGGGGTAATGTCACTGGCTTGCATTTTTCTTGTTGAGGATTTTGTATTTGCATTGCTTTTCACTTGGAAAATGGTTGGTTGAATTTGATGTGTGGTGGGTGGCCATAATATGCACATGCCATGGAGCTGTTGGCCATTACCGTATTAGTTGTGTATCAGTAGACCTTCCATAGTTGCAATGCCCTCTCTCAAAGCTCTAAGATAATTGTGTTATTGCCTATCCTTTTGGTGCAAAAATTGATTTGATTTCTTTTCTTCTGGTTATTTTCAAGCTGACTAAAGCTCCTGCTAGCAGATAACAGATGCAGTTGTTGCAGCACGCATATTAAATGCCACCCTTATTGTGCCTAAGCTTGATCAAAAGTCCTTTTGGAAGGATTCCAGGTTGATAACATTTTATAAAATAAAAGCAACTTCTGCTTTTAGTTATCCTTGCTAGATTTCTGATACGTGTTTGTTGTTTCTTGACAGCAACTTTTCAGAGATCTTCAATGTTGATTGGTTTATATCATTCCTGTCAAAAGATGTGAAAATAATTCATCATCTGCCAAAAAGAGGCAGGAAAACATGGAATGCTCACTCAATGCGTGTCCCCAGGAAATGTAGTGAAAGATGTTATCAGAACCGTGTCTTACCTGTTCTTTTGAAAAGGCATGTAAGTTCTCCGTTCTCTACAACCCATTTGACCATATGGACATGCAACTTTTGTTATTGTTCAGTTTTCAATTATCAACGCAAGCATTGATTTCTTAATACATGTTTCCATTGCATGCTTTTCTTAGAAATTTTTTACAGTGAGTCTGTAACTTCTCATTCTTGTGCTTTTGCTATGTGTCATGTTTATATTAATTTGTAATTATATACTCAGAAGTATTCAGAATGTGTCAGGCTATTCAGCTCTCCAAGTTCGATTATAGACTAGCAAACAAGTTGGAGACAGATTTACAGAAACTGAGATGCAGAGTTAACTACCATGCCTTGAAATTCACAGACTCAATAGAGAAAATGGGTGAAAAATTGGTCCATCGAATGCGGGCAAGAAGCAAGCATTACATTGCTTTGCACCTCAGGTACGTGGTGATAAACCCATGGTCCTAAATTATCGTAGTTGTCATTATGGAACTATTATGGACAATTGCTGGTCTTTTCTGTTGATTGGTTGGTTATTATAGCGTACGCTTGTTTCACAGGTGTACTGTTCTCAAATGATTTATTTAGTAAATGAACTACAGATTTTAATAATTCATCAGATGTTGCTTTGATGAAATGAATTACAATTTTTTTTTTTTTTCTTTTGTGGTGGCTTATTTACCTATATTCTTGCATAGAAACACATTCAATTTTAGAAAGATTATTTACAATCATTCAATTTCTTTTACACATGCTAATGCCATCAAAATGGCTCTGTAAACAAATAAATCTCCTAGTCTGAGTTAGAGTTACGGAACTCAAGGAATCTAAACAAAGGCCTACTAGCTAAATACGGTCTTCATCCTTTGGAGTGGGGTTAAAGACACTTACACAAATCCATGGAAAGAAATTTCATCTGAGAGCCCCTTTTTCTCTTGTTTGGTTTAGTGCTCCGTGGGGGATGGGAGGGATACTTATTTTTGGGAGGATAATTGGGTGGTGAATAGGCCCTCGGGGTTTCTCTTGTAGTTCATTCTTTGATTTTTTGGCAGATCCAACTTTGGTTTGAGAGTGCATTTTGGAGTCTGTGTTTTGGAGTTTGTGGATGGTGAAAGTTCCTAAGAAGGTTTAGTTCTTTGTTTGGTTGGTTGTCCATAGAAAGATTAAAACCTTAGATAGGCTCTCAAGATTTTCTAGTTGGTTGGGCCTTTTTATTGCGCTATGTGTTGGAAGGTGGAGGAAGATCTTGATCATTTGCCATTAGATTGTGACTTTTCTCGAGTTTGTGCTATTTTATGGGGGTTATGAGGTGAGAGGAATAATGGAATCTTTTGAGGGAGCAAAAGGTCCCTTTGTGATGTTTGATACCTTATCAGATTCTATATTATTTTCTGGCCATCAGTAAATGAACACCTTTTGTAATTATTCGTTAGGTCTTATTTTACTTGATTGGAACTCCGTTTAGTTAGTTTCCTTCTGCGAGTTTGATTTGTTGTATGCCCTTGTATTCTTTCTTTCTTTCTTTTCTCAATAAAAGTTTGGGTTCTTATCAGAAATAAAAATTTGTTTACTCTTGATTCCGAGCCGTGCAATGCGTACTGAGGCTTGTCGTAGTATTGGGGCGTCAATCGTGATTTTAATCCTGCCATTTGTGTATTACCATAGGTTTGAACCAGATATGCTAGCATTCTCTGGTTGCTATTACGGTGGAGGTGAAAAGGAAAGGAGAGAACTCGGAAAAATTCGAAGGCGATGGAAAACATTACATGTAAGGCTCTGGTTTTAATTATGTACAGAAATCCAGTGCTTATCACCAATATTTGCAAGTGAATTGTAGTGACGTCAACCAGCCCAGTGGGCTTTTGTGTTTGAATGAGGTCGTGGGATTGGTTTGGCATATAGTTAATCCTTATTTGGGGAATATAGTTAATTCATGTACAAGCAAGAAATTCTCTCAGATCTGTATACTGCCTGACATTTAGATGGATCTATTTTCTATGTGGTAATTCGAACATAAGATGGCAACTGAAGTAACGCTGCTTTGAATTTATTTCAGCAAGTCAGCAATCCTGAGAAGGAAAGGAGGCATGGAAAATGCCCACTGACTCCAGAAGAGGTTGGTTTGATGCTGAGAGCGCTGGGATATGGGCAGGACGTCCATATCTATGTGGCATCTGGAGAAGTGTATGGAGGGGAAGAGACGCTAGCCCCTCTGAAAGCCCTTTTTCCTAATTTCTATTCCAAAGAAACCATAGCTTCCAAACAGGAATTGGAAAAATTTTCTTCATATTCCTCTCGCATGGCTGCGCTGGACTTTATTGTCTGCGACGAGAGTGATGTATTTGTCACCAACAATAATGGAAATATGGCAAGAATACTGGCTGGAAGAAGGTGCGGAATTTCCCTCTTCAACAAAATAAATAAATATATGTGTGTGTGTGTGTGTGTGTGTGTGTGTGTGATGAATAATTTTGTAAAATTCAATTCTATTTCAGAAGATACTTCGGACACAAGCCTACCATTCGTCCAAATGCCAAAAAACTGTATAGGTTGTTCATGAACAGAGCCAACATGACATGGGGAGCATTTTCCTCCAGAGTAAGAACATATCAGAGAGGCTTCATGGGGGAGCCAAATGAGATGCGGCCTGGCAGGGGTGAATTTCATGAAAACCCATCGCCTTGTATATGCGAAGAGGCCGGGTTTCATGTCAAGTCTGATAATTCAGGACCCAGAGAACATGATACGACACGAAGAAGAGACGAGGCTGCGACAGTAGGCGACGACCAAAACAATGATTATGAGCCAGAATGGCCGGACTCAGAAGAAGAGGAAGAACAAGTTGAGTTCCAAGATAAAGATCCGTTCAACACAAGTGTGGAATATGAGGGAAGTAACTATGAGGAGCCAAATTTGGAATTGGAAGAGATTCTGTCGGACTAAACGAGCTGATCCTTACTAAAGTGAGTACTTTACTAACCTTTATTTTCACTCAGAAATTGTTGATTCAACAAGAGCTGTTGATTTTTAGTGCAGTGTATATAACAACCCCATGTAACAGTACAGTCAGATCTTGTATCGACAATTTGAGTATCTCAATTAAAGTGGCGTGGTTGGACTCTTAACCTTAAAAACAAGAAAACAAAAACGGTGCCCACAATGCTGGAGTTGCATTGCCTTTGGTTTTGTCGACTCGGCGTCGTTGCTTCCTAAGCTGCGTGGGAGGTAAATTAATTAATTTCAAAATACATTTTTACCAATAATACTATCTTAACAAATCTTTTTTGCCTTAAATACAAACTAATCTTAACAACCTAATTCCAAAACAGAGGATATCTTGACCCAAATTAATTTCTCTCTCTCCTCTTCTTTTTATTTATTTTTTTATCTTTACTAAATTTTTTTCGATATTTTATCAAATTAGAAAAAGAAAAAAAAAAATACATGTTGTACTTTGTGCTTGTAGTATCTAAAATTTGGAAGGGTAAAAATGGAAAAAAAAACATTCAAACAAGTGACTGAGAAAGTAAAATTCTTGAAGTCAATTTCAAAATTCTACAAAAGATCATTCTAAGCAGCCTTTGCTTAATTTTCAACACGTCCTTATTACTGTTGTTTTCTTTTGGCTTAATTTGTATTTCTAATACCTTTCTCTCCCACGTTTTTATTGGAAAAAATGGTAAATAGTCCAACAGGTTTAATAAATCAAAATCATCAACGAAATTAAGTTAGTTTTGTAGAGATTATCAGTTGACCTACCAATAATCATAGTTAATTAATATAATTAACTCATTTTTTAAAATTAGTCATTGCAGTTGATTTTAAGTTAACTTTTAGGTCAATTTGCAATATAATAATAATAATAATAATCATAATAATTTCTATTCCACAAACGACGCCATACCCATATGCATTCAAAATTATATTGAGAGGGTTGACAAAAAAAAAAATCTAATTTTTTAAAACTAAAAATAGCAATAAATTAATGATATTACCAAAATTTGGAAAATTGAATTTAAATCAATCATATATTTATATTTTAAGTTTAATAATATATAAAAATGAGGCCTCCTTAAAGAAGTTAATTATGTAAAATAATATCTTAGATAATTGAAAAATAATAATAAAATCATATTAGGCAAATTCAATTTTCATTAAAGCGTCGTATCTTATTTTCATGGCAAAGGAAAAAAAAACATTTAAATATTATTAATGTTTAATGAATGGGATGTAAATTACCTTTGCGTCCCGATTCATATTTGAATATCGTACGTTTCATTCACGCAAAAAGTCGGTCCCATCTTCTTCCAATGCCTGACCTAACCGATTTCCTTCCAAATGAAAACACGGATTTCAGTCACCAAATTCCGCCATTGATTTCCTTCACTTTCTTCCATATTCCACTGCTCTTCGATGCTCAAAAGCCGTAAGAAAATCGCCATGGCGTTTCGAAGGTGGGCTACCGATGTCGATTGGCGTCTCCTTTTTCTAGTCCTAACTCCTCTCTCTCTCATCGCCTTTTTCTCCGTCTCAACCGTTCCTGCGATTCCTTTTTCCTCTCTCGCCCCGCTTCGATCCTTCATCATCGGCGCCTCGTTTCAACAGCCTCACGAATCGAATCATCGAACTGATGATTCTTCGTTTGGTCTTCCTCCGAGTAAGCCTCCGAAAGGAGCCGTAGAGGCGGAGGAGTCCGCCGAGGCTCGTAAGTGGAGAAAGAAGAAGGCGGAGTTACAGAAATCGAAAATGGCGGTGTGTTTAGTCGGCGGAGCGAGGAGGTTCGAGGTAACCGGGCCGTCGATTATGGAGAATATTCTGAAGGAGTATCCGAATGCGGATTTGTTTCTGCACAGTCCGCTAGACCGGAACTCGTTCAAGTTATCGTACTTGAGAGCAGCGCCGAAAGTGGCCGCCGTGAAAATCTTCAAGCCGAAACTGATTCCGGAGACGGAGTCGCAAGTCCGGCTTCTGACGGCGGCGAACTCGCCCAACGGAATCCAGGTTCTTTCGTCTATCGATCTGTAAAACGTTTTGAAATTTTTGGTCAAATTTTAGGTTGAAACGTTATTCGATTAGGTGGCTGTTAGGAAGAAGATGAGAGCCGGATGTTGTATCTGTAACTAACTTTTTTCTCTCCTTTATTTTTTGCTTGATTTTATAAATCTTAAAACCTTTGCTTACCTTTGAATCCATTCCTTCTCCTTCTTCGTCAAATCAACCGAAGAATAGAATAAAAAATAGTTGCCGCTTTTAGTATTTCATAAGAAATTTGGAAATAAAGGAAACTAAGGTCAAACAAGAACGTTTTATTAATAGCACTAATTCCCTGAATTAAATTCAAAACATAACCCCAAATGTAATCACATAATTCCAGTTTTATGTTTAGGAGCTTTACTGAATTTCTTATTATATTTCCATGTTCAATTTCATTAAAATTTATATATTTATTAATAATAAGCTCATTTTTCCATTTACTTCAAATATATTGCTATAATGGGTTTTTTAATTTTCCATTTTACGTTCATATGAACAAATCATTGGATTAAGAACAATAACCTCTTCATACAAATTTCGACTTGTATGTAATCAATTTATCAAAAATTTATGAAGTAAACGAATTCATGGAGGACGTAATTGTCATGCAGTGGATGTGCCCCAGTTTATGTACTTTTTAAGTGAAAAGTACGATAATGCCCCTACTAAATGTGAATGGATGCGTTTTTTTGCAGGGGCTTTTGCAGTATTTCAATTTGGTAGAAGGATGCCTGACAATGATCCGGACGTACCAAGAACTCAACAATTTCACATACGATTGGATTGTTCGGACTCGGGTCGACGGGTTCTGGAACGCTCCGCTCCGACCCGATAACTTCGTCTCCGGACAGTACGTGGTGCCGCCAGGATCCTCGTACGGCGGACTCAACGACCGGCTCGGCGTCGGAGATCTCAACACCTCCACCGTCGCTCTCTCACGCCTCGCTCTAATTCCGAAACTGGACGCCGCAGGACTCCGGCAACTGAACTCGGAAACCGCCTTCAAGGAACAGCTGACCACCGGAGGAGTTCCATTTGTGACAAAACGGTTACCGTTCTGTATAGTGACGGAGCGGCAGTACAATTTTCCGCCGCGGGGATATGGAGTTCCGGTAGCGGCAATGTCGAGTCCAGGGCCGCTGAGCGGGACAAAATGCAGGCCGTGCAAGGTAATATGTGAGGGTGAGTGCGTGGAAAAGGTGATGGGTTCATTGGACAGAGGATGGAGCTGGACGGATTGGGAAAATGGGAGTATGGGTCTGTGCGATGCCCGTGGAGATTGGGAAATGGGATGGGAAAAGTTATATGAGGATCTGGTTGGGGAAGAAATGGCGGATGCGAGCTGGAGAATACAGAACATGAAGATGAGTGAGTGTAGTGATGGATTCAGTGAAATGAAAAGACGAAGTGGGATTTGGGAAGCTCCGGCGGCGGAGGTTATTTGTAGGGTCGGGAGTTTGAAAGGTTAGTACAATTAAATTCACAGCTTGATGCTTTATTATTAGGAGAAGATCATACGAAATTTTCTTGCGAATTAGATTAATTAGTTGGTTGGTTGGCTTTTGCTTTTGCTTTTGCTTTTGCTTTTGGTCTGTAATTAATGTCTTATATTTAGTTATAATTCCCAATTAATTCATAAATTAGTTTCTTTATTGTTCTTCATTTGTGAAGGGGTTTATTACCCAAACTTGGTTTCAACTCCCTCATAGCTTAGGCTCTTAATTACACACGTGGAACAACATTAATTAATCAAATCAAATCTTCTTAAACCTCTAATTAATTCTGTGACTCGTAACCAATCATAAATTAAACCCCTTTTTTTTTTTTTGGCTAAATTATCTCCTAAATCTCTTGGGAATACCGATTTAATCCGAAACGAGGCGTTATCGAGTAAAGAAAAGATCCAATAAAAAGACACGAATTACCTTTTGCCATTACCAAATACAAAACGCAATCGGCAGCGACGAACCTGGCAGGCTACTGGAAATGCGACTAGCCGATGATTCCTATGTCTCCGTTGCCGGAGATGCATGCTTCGTCTTCATTCTGGTCCGTCGGCGCTCTGCGTGTCGCTCGCAGGTTTCTTCTACATTCCTCCGCCGTAAACACTTTCCGTCAATGGCTACATCGGAGAAACAGAGTGGCGGCGGTTCTTTCTCCATCTTCGTTTCGTCTCGCCTCTGCTGCTCGCTCCCCGTTTTTCTGCTCTGATTCAAAATCCTATTGCCCTAAATCGTTGGTTCCCTACTTTTAAATTTGGGTTTAATTAGAAGGCCACGTGTCAAATAAACGTTCGCGGCAGTTCTTTGGAAAACGCATTTCATCCCACGTGCCACGTCATGAGTTCGTTACGTCTCGTTTCATTTATATCCAATGGGCTGTGCCGATAATTTCATGTTTACACATGGGCCAGGGCTTTAACTGTTGGATTGGTAGTTAAGGCCCATTGATGGAACTCTAGAGGTCAGTTTATTTTTCTAATATTTATAAAGCATAATGATAATATTATTATTATTATCATAACAGTAATAATGTGATCCATGTTGGTGAGGATTTAAATTTTTTAAAAAAATGAAAGGCAAAACAAGGTGCCACGTCATAAGACACATTTTAATAATTTAATTAATGTTAATCTGAAATGCATTATGGATGAAAGAATCAACAAATTAATATTAATTTTATGGAACTTTTGGAATGATACCCCAAAATTCGTGGAGACAGCTAGAGAGAGAAGGAGAGTTAGTTTAAAGGTCTTTTAGCAAAGGCAAAGGGCACTCGAGAGGGGGAATGGATCTAAGCCGCCCCTTCGATATCCATTTTAATAGCCTAATCTCACCGTTAATAGATATTTTTGATTTTATCAATCTTACAATTTTAAAATGTGTCTACTACGAAAGAATGTTTCGTTTTACTCTCAAACCAATGTAGAATTTCACCATTCACACTTTTAGAGTTAACAGCCTTACTGACACAGCGTCCGATGTCTAGCTTTAATACTATTAGTAAGAGCTCAAGTTCATAATCAGTAGACATTCTATTACGTATGGTCACAATTTTAAAATGAGTCTTTTAGAGTTATTTAATAGAATGAGTACTCATTTAAATACTCTTCTCCCTTTGGACTTCTGAACTTTCCATCAAAATTTTAGTTTTTTTTAGTTTTTTTTTTTTTGCAAAATTATATATATATTTTATATTGAATACGGTCACGTTTTGGAGGCCACCTCTAGTTATTAGATTCCTTGTGTTGTTTGGTGGGCGATTATTATTGATTGATTTTTAAAAATAAATGTTATTTTATTCTTAGAATTTTTAGTTCTAATTTAGTATAATTTACATGAAAATGAGCTTCTTAGAATAGTTAGGATGCATGATTTGGACAAAACATAAATAAAAGTGAATTATTAAGAAGTGGTACAATCAACTATAATATAATAATTTTTTAATTTTATTATTCCTTGGTATGGTACGTAAAAGGGAGAGCATACCAAATCAAAGACACAGAGGGGACTCAAATAAATAAATAAACAATATAATTAATTAAAATAATAATTAATATGTTAAGGTAAATAAAATCCGAGTGAACGATTGGTTGTCTTGTAGCGAAGAGGTGGGGAGGAGAAGCGGAAACGCACATAACCATTACCATTATTTTTGCTACTCAAAGAATTGTCAATTTCCACTGTGTTCATTCATTGCTGAATCTGTTCTTCTTTAATGTTATTATGTGGTTCAAATTCAAACCATTCATTTCAATAGTTTTCCAATTTAATGCACACAAAATATTTATTATTTTGTTTAAGTTTTTAGAGATTTAATTAATGCCAAGTGTATATGTTGTCTGCTTAATCAATTCTATTTCGTCTGGCTCGAGTGTTTGTTGTAATTGTTACGAAATAAGGATGCACGATATTGTGTTAAAAGACAACGTATCTCTCGAGTTGGACATGATTCGAGCAAATTTGTGTTATTCGATGAGTCTACTCATGTAACAGTACAAGTTCATGGCTAACCGATGTTATATAAATATTATGGTGATTAGTATATTATTCCGGTTTAAAAACAAATGAGGGCAGCCGTGGATGGGGCCCGCAAAGTAGACCCTCCAGCGTGTCAAGCCACGTGGTGTCCCTCCCAACCAGAACGGTAGAAAACAACCGCCTCCGTGCTGCTACGTGATTGGCCGCCCTATGCCTTTCCATCTTCATTTTGAACTTATTCGCGGATCCAGTCCCCTTTCCCCACCAAGAAGAAAAGACAAAATACTTCGCCTTTGACCGTTACTTTTTTTTTTTTTTTTTTTTTTTTTTTTGGATT